ATCCCATAGACCTTGAGGATTTTAATTCAGTCGATAAGATCCTCCTGTGAGTTTACACATTCCAAATCGACAGCATGCATTTTCAGTAAAATTAGGACCCATTTTGGGTAGAATATAGAAACCAGTTTCAAATTGAATCCTTTTATGTAGCAATTCAGAGCATCCAAAATGTGGCAAATAATTGAATTCTGCCTTGTCATTGAGGTTGTTTTTCTTTCGTATTTCCTACAAAAATATGGAAAACCAGATTCAAAATGGATTATTTAAGAATGTGCCAAATTCTGGATGCTCTTAAATGCTAGGAAAATAAAGTAATCTAGGGCCTACATGGAATTTCTACCCCATAAGCTCTAAACTGTACTATTTGGATCCACATTTACAGTTTTAAGGCTGAACAAGTCTTGTTTGCTAATGTAAAGGCTCTTCTAATGGTAGTTAAGTCCAAATCAGCACAGTTACCCAAACCAAATGAATGCTTTATTCTTCACTCTCACATGGAAATTTATCATTGTTAGCAGATTACTATCCTAATCTGAATCAAACCCAGTTTCAATAATTGGTACAACCATTTTATCTAGAGAATAATTTTGCCCTGGATCCTGTCATGTTACCACCATCTTTACCAAATAGATTCAAGAACCAATGTTTTATGTGCAGCTTGACTTGACGGTTGTGAGGAGATGTCAGATCCACCAGAGCTCAACGTCTACTGAACGTCAGAGGGAAGAGATTGCTGACCATGACTGAAAAAAGAGGCCCATAAAGGGTTCAATAAAAGTGACTCAAAGTCTCTAATGGGGAAATTCTGCTGATATCCAGCAGTACATCACAGCCATCTTCCAGGGGCTCTACTGTTTCAAGAATATGGATCCCTCAAGTAGATCAGTTACTAACAATATTCTCTGAAAGCACGTCTGAATCATTATTAGTGAATTACACTGTGAACTGCCAATGTTTAGATGCAGTAGCACAAGTTGACATTTTTACTCACAATTTATTTGCAATTTTCTACCGTCCTCTTTAAAGTGCTGATCATACACCAGAGTTACCTCGCCCACGTTTCAGCAATTGAATTCAAATCCTCCACTTCTATGTGATTTATAAAAGCAGGTAACCTTCTTTAGATTCTTGACACGCTGAGTTGTTCTTTATCCATCATATTCAATAGAAAGCAGTCCAGCCTGCAGCAAACTGATCATGTGTGTACCTAGTCAGTGAGTGTCAGTATCACAGCCACATGTGATCACAGCCTGACTGCATGTCATCACTCGACAATCAAACGCTTACACTTTCCAGCAGGTTTCACTCAATAGTTGATCACATAGTGAGAACCGTGACTGATTCACCTTCCTTGAAGAAAATTGTGTAGCAGCCTCTGTTAGTTTGCTTACGATCAGCTAACTGGAGGGTGAAGCTGGGTTCTTCCTATGTGCATGTCTCAGGACCACACTGAGCAACACATTTACTCACTGAGCAATCAAGAGAAATCTACTCTTTCCCAATGTTTTTAATCCAGAAAAGGTTTATCATCTACTGCAGTAATCTATGGGACAAATGTTTGTTTAAAAGTTACATAAGCAGTAAACCTCATCCCCAGCGTTTCTATGATCTGCTGAATGAGGTTTAACATGGTGGCCTGCAAGATGCAACTATTATAACCCCTTGGTGATTGGAAGGAACAAACAGCATAACATTGTTGCAGTACTGTCTAAAGAAGAGGGTGATTGCAACTCCTGTTCAACAGATGACATCTCAGCGAAGCACTACTGTGCAGAGGCGAAAGTGATGCTGACAGCCCTGTTCAGTCAATGCCAAGTAGTCAACGCTTGGCTCGAGTATTCTCTGGAAAGGAAATTCTCTTCTTTTCTACTATCCCTGCATAGATTCAGCACTGAAAGTGAATACTCCACTCATGGGAGCCTTTGGGGAAATCAACAGCATTGCTGAAGGACTGTGAATGAACTGTCTGTGTTTAGTATCACTTCTGTTGTCACTTACTACATCACTGGAGTATGAGGACAGTGAATGTGCCAAATGAATAGTTGGCTTAGTTTAGATAGTCCAGTCCCCTAAATAACGTTCAATTGGTGTGTTTGATTCAATGAAGAAGAGCACAGGCAGGTAGGAATTATGCTGAAGGTAGTGCTGCCGTTAAAAAAAAAATACAATTACAAGTGATAAACTTGCAGCAATGTTACCACACACAGCACAATGCAGGAACAAGCAGCATAAAAATGGTTGCAGTACTGTCTAAAAAAGAGGGTGATTGCAAGTCCTGTTCAACAGATGACATTTCAATGAAGCACATCGTGCAAAGGCGAAACTAATGCTGACAGCCCCGTTCAGTCAATGCCAAGTAGTCAACTCTTGGCTCGGGAGCCAAGAGACATCATGCGATTTCCTCCCAACAATCCCAACAATATCTCACAGAGTTTTGATAGGTAGTGGGCTGATGGGGTTGTGAGACCTAGTCTTAGAGCTTACAAAACCGTAATTGATTATAGCGGCTTCATCATATTGAAATATTTGTTTTACTCACAAAATGCACTTGATAGTAAATCCTGTGAAGCGCTTTGAGACGGCTCAATGACTTGATAAGGCGCCGGATCAAATGCAAGGATTATTATATTATAAATATTTCAAAACAATCAATGTTAATACTGCTCAGTGCAGTAACTGGTTTTGTAGCCAAACATAGCAGCCATCTGATACTGTGAAAAATTACTTTGCGCATGGGCAAATAAGCAGTGTGTGCAACCCACTCGAACCCAAGTTTGAGTGCATGGATCACAGGTGAGGACAGAATCAGGTTCAGCTGTCTTTTAAATAGTGTGCTGACACTCAAAAAGTCAAGAATGAAGCATAAATAATGGTTGAGTGGGTGAGGTCCTAGAGAGAGATAATACCTTATGGGCTCTGCTGGTAGGAGGGTGTGTGGATATCAGATTAACCTTGGCTGAAAAGTCCTCCCTATAGTCAAATAGCCAGCCAGCACTCAATATTGAGACTCACCCATTAATAATAGGCACATGAACAAGGAACCATGTGCCTATTATGTCCCATTGTTTGTAGGACAGTGCTGTGTGCAATTGGCTGCTACGTTTCACCCACAAAATTCACTTTACTGCATATTCTGTGAAGCGCTTTGAGACGTCTCAAAAGCATGATAAGGTGCTATACGACATGCAAGGATTATTATCATTGACCAGAGGGCATCAAGTACGCACAGAACTGTACTCCAGCACGTGCACAGAACTGTACTCCAGCCAAGTGCATCTTCAAGATAAGATGGGGAAAAAGTATTTTTTGAAGGCAGAGAATTAAAAAAGGAAAAAAAAGAACAAAAATATTCTGTAATATAGGGACTAATTACCTCACTCAATCTTGGTACCTGAATCTAAAAAACGTTGTGGTAGCCAGACAACGTAGCCACAAGACAAAGACACCAACAACGCCCAGAGAAGAAAAAATAATAAATAGCTATCATAGTCCAAGGACTGGTATTAACTGGAGAAGATGTCTGTGGAAAGCCTAATAAATACCACAAATTCCATGGGAGGAACAGATAGAAAGCTGATTGCAATGCTTCAAATACAGGACAAATTACACCTATCTGACATATCCTGATGAATTAATTAGGTCTTTACTATCTTGTCCTCAAAGGAATCCTAAAAATTACATTTTTAAGTCCCAGGTTAAAACTCTTGCAGAGGCTGAACTATGTGGAGTATTCCATGTTACAAATAGGGAAATATTTTCACATGTGGATTGGATCTTTCAGAACTTTAGCTGTTTTTATTCTCAACAATAATTTTGCTGTCCCCTAAATATCACCAATATGAGTCCAACTGATCTTTCCTTAAGATCATTGTTTAGTCTTCCTCGCCAACTGTCCATTCAATTAGGTAAGACAGTACCCAATGGGTCCATTACTGATTAAATCAGAGGTCAACCAATGGACATGGCTGGTGCCAGAATTTCGAGAGTAGTGGCCCAGTGCTCAGTAACCCCCATATACCTCTGTGCCAGAGAGATGTGTTCATTGCGACTGTAATAAGTCAATCTTACAGTTTACTCCTATTTTTAGCTTCTCTGTATTTTACTAATTAATGAGGATTTACCTGCTAAAAACTTTTTTAAATTCTTTTTTAGTGTGTCCAAATTTTGGTGGGTCTATTTTCATTCCCCATTGGTGATCAGCGCCAGCCTCCTCGTGCTTGCTTACCCCACCCAAGTGCCATTGTTCACGAGTGAGCATCGGGAGGCCATTCAACTGTAGAGGGATGTGACAGCTGAGCCTGACGTCTCCTCTGCCAAACATGCTAATTACCATTACAAGGGCCTGTAATGGACCAGGAGCAGAAACCCTGGCTGGTACCAGGAAACTCAGCAGACAGGAATTCAAACAAGCAAGCATCTAATGTGTAAGCTGTAGGTCTATCCACTGCATGATTGGTTGCCCCCCCGAGTACTTTTATTTTATTAGTGTGTCATTGTATTAAGAATAGCTCACCTTTAGGGAAGAAATGTGACTGTGTTGTAAATGTTTGCTAAACATTACCAGATTTTTCTTCTTTACATGTTTCCTGCAGCTGGCGAATTGTAACAACTGTGGTGCAGTTCCATAGTCTCCAGCAGCTCTCCAGGACTTTGTCCAAGTTCCCATTCTTCATCTGCCAGTCTACACATTGAACGTTAGCATCTACTCCGCTGTGGGGGGAATTAGAACTGAACCCAATCCTGTCCTCAACCAATGTGCACATGCAAGCACTTTGTAGCAAGGTGCATTGCATTGTAATGAGGAGCAGGAACCTTGGCTGATTTGCTTTCTTCTCCCTAGGCCAGGAGTACTAAATACAATTGCAGCAATCCAGTGCTGCTCTTTCTGATCAGTTAACTCAGCCCATATTGGAGAACCAACCTGGAACTTCCTGTCTTGTATGACTCAGTTCTACATAACCACCACTTTTAAAAGTCCTATTGAAAACTTTCAATCACTGTGCTGTTAGCAGAGCTACAATTTATTACACTTGCATGTGGTCTATATTGTTTAGTTACATATGAAATGGGGGGAAAAAATCACAGCAGTTTCATCGCTTGTTGCATCTGTAGTAGTGTATTTGGAAATACTTCAAGAAAGATACTGTTTTACAATAAAATACAAAATGCAGTATAATAATATTGTTTCAATAGAACTTTTACAAAATCTATTATACAAAAGTACCATTCCTCATGGTCTGTATATCTAAAAGACTTGGTTCTGTCATATTCATTGATTGTTTCAGACTTCAAATCAACTTTGTGGCATGAAGTAAAAACTCCAATATCATTAGCCACTTACCTGTCATATTCTTCAGCCAACAAAAAAAATCCATTAGTTTTATGGGTTCAACTTTCATTAAAAGTGCAACTAGAATAAATGTGCCTGACCATACTGTATAATAGATGCCAAAAGTTGGTCCAATTAAACAAGAGTGATTAATCTACCTCAGTAGATTTCATGACTGGCCTCAAAACAAACCCAGTCTCAAGAAATGAGGCTTGCATTTTTTTAAAAAACATACCTTCTCAAATCCCAGCCAAACATTGAACAAGGGAACTGTAATACATCACTCTTCACTCACAACTCCACATCAACATGTTGATATATCTTCATTAATTTCAATAAAACCAACCTTATGTTATGTATTAGGCTTTCTTAGCAAATGTAAAAGTAGGCTTGAAATCATTGTTTCCAGGTGCAGTTTGACTGTGCGAGAGAATGGTACATATTTTCACCTTGTATCACCTTGTATCTGATGAAAGTTTTAATTTCTTCTAACCAGCACTACTGCAGATTAGTAGCAAAATATCAGCCATGCTTTACCAGGCCTAATGTCGCAGTCTAAACCTCAACCAGAGAACAAGATTCTCTTCTGCACCAGATGGTTGAAATTTCCATTCTCAGCGTTAAACATAGTCATTTAAGGGTAACTTTGGTGGAATTGGCTTAACCTAAGATCCTGGTTTAACTTGAACAAGCTGCTGTGAGTGCACCTCATATTGTGAAGGACATTTAACCTGTAGATACATCATGACCGCTTCTCTTTAAAAGGCCTGAACATTTCTGAGAGAATGCAGCTAAGTGTTTGGCTGCAATTGTGAAATTGAATTAAAATCCAAGTGTATTGACCTTGAGAAGAAAGCAAAAACATGAGATTTTGACTGAAACACATTTTAACGGCATCTTAGATTTGAAGTGTACAGGTTTGATCATATTTGCATGCTGTTGTCATTAATCGTGATCTGTTTTGGAGGGTCACCTTTAAACTGGAAAATGTATTTTATATAATAGTGAGTCCATAGAAAACACACAGTCAGATTCTAACCTCATTTACAGATCTCTGACCATCCACCTTTTCAAAAGTGAATACACAAAGTTGGAATAATTATCAATAGCACTGACTCATGGATTGCTCCATAGCAAGTAAGGCTGCTCACTCATGGATCTGGGGAAACTGTATTTCCCAGTAGGGAGTCACTTCTCCAACAAAGCTGAGCTGAAAGCTAAGGAAATCTGTGGCACATAGGAGACAGGCTGTAATATTTCTCTCTCCACACAGACTTGAACCTGAAAGGTTTCTTTTTAAATAAAGGCTTCAGTCCACTTAACTCTTCAACACAATCCTGATTACTCAGTATTCATAGTTGACAAACAGATCCTTCCTTCATATTAATATTTGACCATTGAAACCTTTTTTCTACCATTTAACTCACATAGGTCAAAGTGGCTGAATGACAATGGAGTTGCCCGTTAAAATATAATGGGTCCAGAAAATCTGTTTTGCCACAAAAGTTCACAGTAGTTTGTTGTGATGTAAGCGAATGTGAAATACTTGGTACTGTAACAAAATCAATGAAACCAGAACGGGTCATTTATAAAATAATAACTATACTGTAAAACACTTTAAAAGAAAACTACTGTACGCATTGGAAATTGGTAATAAGTAGGCTTCTGATCTAACGTGTAAAGTCAGTTTAAAACTAGGACAGAAAAAAACAAACATGTAAAAGTTCATTTTTGTAAGTAAAAATGTTTCACTACAATGATTCACAGAATTTTCCAGAAAAAAAGTATAAATATAATCTTCTTACAGAGAATATGATTTTCAGTAAAAAACATATTTTACAAAACTTTTTTACTAAGCGCATAAAATCTATGCATTTTGAGCCCAGTATATTATACATTATTTTGGGGGGAGGGATACTGTTTTTACACTGGCGATCCATTCGACAACCTGTAATTGTATCTAACCAAACCCAGTTGAGCACACCCGCAATTTGCCAAGAGGCTCTTTGTCACCTGGAAATAGGCACAGATATGTTCTGTCCATTAGGTACTTCTCCGATGGATGGATAATATTTACCAATCCTCAGACTTGTTCATGAGTTTTGCTCCAAAATTTCATCAAGATTTAAGTCCTTCATCCAGTCGTCATTGCCAGTGCTATTTTTTATCAACGAGTCCAGGAAGTCAGAGTCACTGCTGAGCCCAGTCAGTGCACTGTCACCTTGTTGGCTAAGAAAGTCAAATCCCAAGTCACTGTTGTGATTTGTTCCCTGGTAACCTCTAGGGGGTTGGTTTGTGGAGGGAAAACTGGTTGAGGGCAGTGTTTGCACTGAAGGTGTCTGACTCAAGACGGCCAAACCTGGCGCTGACTGGTTCATTACAGACATAGCTTGTGGTTGAGGTCGTGGCTGACTGGCTCTTGTAGATGGCCCACTCAGTGGCCCCATTGTCTGTACGCTCATACCTTGATTCAATTGGGCCAAGGGTCGCATCTGAACTCCTGGAGCTATCTGGTTTGGTGGTACCATGGCTCTCTGAGAGAAATGTTGATTAGACATGTTGGGTTGTACAGATTGATTAGGGAAGGGAGGGTTACTAGAAAACCTTACATTGTGGCCCATTTGTGTCTGTTTTTGAGCTGCCTGCACCCCTTGGAGTGTCCAGTTCTGTGGGGCCATGTTGGAATTGGTCATCATATTTGAAAGTCTCTGTCCTGACATATTGATGTTTACATGGTTCAATACCGGTCTCATCTGCTGCTGAGAAATGGCAGAATTCGCAACAGACCCCGTGCCAAACCCCGACACTGTGGTGCCCTGACCTAACGTTGGCTGCCTTGGCATCAATAGAGTGTTCTGGGTCATTGCCATTTGACTTTGACTTGTGTGATGCTGCATTTGATTAACACTAGAAGAAACAGTATATCCACCCTGCTGGGAGGAAGATACATTTCCGTACATTCCAATATTTCTGTCACTTTGACTTCCTGAAATAGGAGGCATTCTTGGTCCTTGACTGCTTGGTGGATTCACTTGCAATAGGCTGGAGTTTGGAGCCATCACACGGTGATTTGGTGCAGGGTTTGACAGAGGCTGAGAGGAGTTCAGTCCCATTGCAGCAGCGGCTCCTGTAAGAATGATTTAAGGTGATCACTTTCCATCTCATAGTATACACTCAGGTACAGAAAACATAAAATACAATGATGATCAGAGGCTCGAAATTCCACCAAGTCTTACAACAACAACACAACAACAAGATTTCATTTATAGAGCGCCTTTCACGTCGGGAGGACGTCCCAAGGCGCTGGACAGTTGGGTCGGGACCCGAGCAGGGGGGAAATGGTCAGGGTGAGGGGAGGAAGGGGAGGGAGCGAGGAGGGGGGTAGAGAGTCGAGAGGGGAGCTGAAGGCACGGTCAAAGAGAAAGGTCTTGAGACTGGCCTTGAAGGAGGAAAGGGAGGAAGCAAGGCGCAGGCACTGGGGGATGGAGTTCCAGAGCCTAGGGGCTGAGAGGCTGAAGGCCCAGCCACCAATGGTAGGGCGGTTAGGGCAGGGGATGTGGAGCAGACCGGAGCCAGAGGAACGGGCTCGTAAGTAGCCTGTTAGTGCATTTTGCCTTAAGATATAATCATGTAGAATTATGGAAAATCCTTCAATTCACTTTTAATTTGGAAGTGGGGCTCTCTAATGTAATAATATACATATAGCAATTGATATAGCGCCTTATCACCTTGTCAAGATGTTCCAAAGCGCTTCACAGGATATACTGTAAAGTGGATTGACTGTGTATTTGTCTACAACAAAAAAAGCTTCCAAATTTAGATCAAATTCAAGAATTTTAAATGAGAATTAAGCTAGTATCCCGTGAGCTGGTAAGACCTCTGGATGAAACATTAATCTGAGGTCTCGTCTTCCTGTTCAGGTGGATATTAATGATCCCACTGCACCATTCTAAAAGAGAAGGGAGTTTCTCCCAGTGTTCTGGCCAATAATTTCACAAATTTATTTACAATTACAATCAATTTAAGGTAATCATATCAATTACCTTAAATCTTAACATATAAGAGACTAAAATGTGAGATTTGCAAAGAGGAAACCCTGCAGATAGCAGGATGTGTCTTGGGCTGATTTGCCAGAACTCTACACAGACACCAATCTCGTTTTCAACCTCAGTGAAGCTGGACTGTGAGTAAAGGAGGCTCCAGTAGGAGATTGGTGTCCAAGAGGAGTTCCTGTGAGGTGGCCTGAGGCACATTGGGACATCTGCAGGACTTGCTATTAGCAAATTGATTTGTGATATTGAAAATGACTACGATAAGTTGTACGAAGGACAAACAGGAGGCCGCAGCCAGCCGAGTGGAGGTGGCGGGTGGTGGAGTGGGGGATAAGCAGATCGGACAGGTATGGTGGTACAAGGGCATGAAGGGATTTGAAAATGAGTGAGAGGATCTTGAAATCAATCCGTTGGGTATTTGGGAGCCAGAGGAGCCTGGGAAGAACTGGTGTGATGGGGTATGGAGATTTGTGTGGGTGAGTATCTGGGAGTTTTTAATTGATTGAATTTTGTGTATGATGGAGCCGGGGAGACCAGCGAGGAGGGCATTGGAACAGTCCAACCTGGAAGTGACGAAGGCATGGACGAGCATTTCGGCTGCGTTGGTGTGAGGTATGGACGGAGGGGGCAATGTGACGAAGGTGGAAAATACATGTCTAATCATGAGATACAAGTTGTATTTGCTTTCTCTGCTGGAATGCAAGAAAAGTGAGATCAAACCCCACTGGAGCCCAGTGAATGGGGAGAGAGCCACATTGAGCAGCAAGCCTGCCTAGATGGAGAGAATTGGAAGGACCTCAAATGACCCTATGATTATACTATGAATATCACTACACCAGAGAATAAACTGGGAAATCGTTTTATATTGTGCTATGTGACCCACTGAAAGAAAGTAAATTTCAAACCGTAAATGTACTTATTCTGCTTTGATAAGCTCCCTCAAATGCAAATACAGTTTGCCTGCCCACTGCACTTACCGGGATATTGGTTTGGCTGAGGCATTCCAACCAGATTTCGCCTCTGGTCCTTATAATCTGGAGGCGGCCTTGTCAAATGACGGTTAAGCTGATCTTGTTGGTTCATTTTCTCCTAAAGAACACAGTATCAAAGGTCAAACATTAAGCTTCAAGAAACTGAGAAAGTTTGTGTTTTTTCTGCTGTCATTTTATTCTCTTCCTTTCGTTGTGTCTCTCTGGAAATGCACCTCCTTGAATGGGTGCTAAGAAACTACAGAATGAGAAATGGCCAATCAAGAGCCTAATGCGGCCAGGGATGAGGCTGACTGTTTGTTTTAAGCGCTATATAAGTGCAAGTTGTTGTTGTTTTCTCAGTGAGAGAATGAATAGAGACCGAAACAAATAACGTTTTTTTAAAATAGATGTAAGGGAGGAGGGGAGAAAAAACAATTTCAAAAGGCAAATGAAAGCATGATAGAGGCGCCCCCAAGCAAAAAGGTTTGAGAAAGATGCTGTACCGAGTCTGCCAGGATTTGCTGTCGAATAATTAACTGCTTCTGGTGCTCTATCATTTGCCTCTGCATGGCCTGCTTCTTCTCCATCAGCTGCTGCTTCAACACGGCCTGGTGGGAGTTGTTCATGTAGCTGTTTCCAGGATTTGGATTTGGGCAGGCATTGGAAGCTTGGCTTGGGCCCTGCCCTGGCCCCACCACAGAGTTCTGATCCTGAGGAAAGCAAAGTAAAGATAAGTCACTTCTTGTCCTGAACTTTACAAATTTCAGCACAGTCCAGAAAAAAAATCACAAAATATCATGGGAGATGTGGGGGAAGGTCTAAAATGCAACGGTTGCTCAATCGTCCGTCATTTCATTTCTAAAATTATTTTAGTGAGATTTTTACTTTATTTTTTCTTAAAACTGTAAAAAGAATCCTCTTCTTCGGTTTGCACCTCCCTATCCATCGTTCTACAGACAACACTGAGACCAGGCAACTGGCTCATAGACCTCTGTCATTATAGTTGTCCCCCAGTCCTACCTTATCAGTTCTTAGCACCTGTGTATTGATAACATGATCTAAAATCCCAGAAAAGGGAGACTTTTGGGGGGACGAACACATAAAATTGAGGGTAAATTCGCTAAAAATTTGTCACATATTTATGTTTTCCGTTCATGTTAAAGGAAAGCAAACGTTTTATTCACAGCACAACTCCAAACCTTTCCTTCACTCTCAAATCGTTTGCAACAAATATGATCAATTCTGGCATCAAGTCAGTACGTGGGTATCAAGAATATTACATAAATACATCACTGTGCTGTGGTCAACTGCACTGCCACAGGGCTCAAAGGTTATCTGTCGTCATACAATTTGCACATCAATCAGTTGGACTCAGATGCAAGAAAAAGTTGGAGAAATCATTTTCTTTTCCCCCAAGAAAATCAGTTTTCACTAAAACAAAATCCAAGTTTTCACAGTGGAAATCAATAAATTTCTTTAAAGATGCTGAAGTTTTCAAGATCTTAGAGAGTATAGATAAACTGAACCCTAATATTCTATCTATCTTCTATCTTTATACTATTAAACGACAACGTCTGTCTGTGCTTCAAGAAGGATCTCAATAACCGATTGACGTAGAGGCATGAATTATCGGAAAGGTCTTGCAGTAGGAGTGACATGGGCATATTTGGTTTCAGGTATTGTTCAAGAGTTATGACCTAAAATGTATTTCAGTTTTGAGTTTCTTGCTGCAGTTACACCTAGTGGCCACCAAGTTAAAGTGGCGCTGTGGCATCATGCGTCACAGGGCATCTCTGTATGTACGCATGCACTGCAGTTACACCTGGTGGCCGCGCTGGCTGACTGTGGCGCTGTGGAATCCTGGCAGTGGGAACAAAATAAAGAACACAGACGAAGCTAAGCCGCGGCAACAACAACAAAATTACATTTTTAAAGCGCCTTTCACATTGGGAGGACATCCCAGTGATTATAAATTATACATTTATATTTATCGTTATAAAGATGCCAAAGCGAAAATCAAACCTTTCAAGAATAAGTAAAAATGCTCAACAAAAGAGAGAAGGCCCATTAAATTAAACTGAAGAACAAAGAACAGCGCGGCTGCACTTCAATGCTGAAAGGACTGCAACAGTGTGCCAAAATGAGTTGCCCACTCAAAGAACAGCACCACCAAAATGAGTCCTCCCACAAGACCCCTCCCAGATGAGTATAGATGAAGATGAAATGTCTGTCTGTGTGTCTGTCTGTGCGTCAATCTACATTCCAAATTGGTTCCTTTGATTGTAAGAGTAGCTGCAACGGGTACAGCTAGTATTATAATAATAATCCTTGCATTTGATATAGAGCCTTATCATGTCATTGAGACATCCCAAAGTGCTTCACAGAATAAACTATAAACCGAATGGACTGTATATTTTGTGGGCGAAACGTGGCTGCTAATTGCGCACAGCAGTGTCCCACAAACAGTCGTGGACTGAGTGACTGAATTATTATGATTTTGAAGGGATTATTACCCCTGGAAAGTGATTCACCAATCGACTCAATATGTTGAACATGGCGAAATAATATGACGACGAAATGAGAGTCGAGCTCAAAGAAGGTAAGGAGAACACAGTTCAGATTTAATCGGCTTCATACAAAGATTGGTGGATCTCTACAACAGATGACCCAGGGAAGCAGTAAAGATGCATCCAAGAGGGAATAAGACAGCTATTTCATGAAGAAATAGATTGAGAGGTATAAGTGAGAGGAGGAGAATTTGCTTGCACGTTGGGACAGACTAGATTGACCCCAATGGTGTTTTCTGAACTTGTACATATCCACATTCCTAAACTCCATCATTGGCCAAAGTCTAATAAAGCCAGGTCCTCACACCATTCAACCTGCTCTCTTTGTCATTCAATTGAAATTCCAGATTGTGCTGTTGCCTTCTCAATTTTTTTTTAACTGGCCTCGATCCACTTTTGATAGAGAAGCATCTTATCCTCTGGGGAGCTTGCCTGTAAACTATAGTGAGGAGCTGTGAAGTCATTCTTGAGCTACATTTCTCCTGCTATTTTGGCTCAGAAAGACAGGACTACCACTACGTCACCCTAGGGGAGCATGAGATAGAAACAGCAGCAAGAAAACGTGTCGTTTTAGACACAGCAGTGTATTAACAGCAGCATTTCAATCACTCAATAAAACCTCTTCATTATTAATGCCTGAAAAAGTGGACAGCAAGTGTGCAAGCCAAGATTCTTTTTCCACTTAAAGGGGAAGTTTCCGCCACTGCTTTGCTAGTATCCCACTCCTCAGCTAACCCCCTTCGCTGGGCTGATACAGGTCTGCTGTGTATCCCTAACCACTTCATACCACTATTGGTGGCCGTCCCTTCAGCTACTACACTACACTGGTAGCCACTGGAACTTCACCTTTTCTTCATCCTCAAATGCCACCTAAAGACCTTTCTCTTCTATCGCACCTATGGTCACCTCCCCCTTCTGCCGTGCTCAGGATCAAACCCTGCCACTGTGCAATTATCCGAGACGCTATCTTGCGTGAGGGGTGCTAGATAAATGTATGTTGCTATTGCTACGGAATTCTGAATATTCTGAAAGTGGATCAACTTGTGTTGATCAGTTGCCCCTCATTACGATGTATCTGTTTTGAGTCTATGTGTTAAGCAGCCTTGGAGCAGACATTATGAGTGGGTATGTTGTTGGTGCTCTTGGTTTCCAGTTACGATATGATGTTGAAGTGAGTCGAGTACTTTGCTCTTTTTGCTCCCAGGGAACAAAAGCGAGACTGAAAACCAAATGAGTAGTCGCTGCCCTTAATAACTTTAGGACTACACAAACAATTCAGTTGAATAAACATTTGCTTTTCTGGTAATCCAATATTAATGAGAGTCAAGTTGACCGATTTGATAATCTGATATTAGGGTCTGATAAAGTAAAAGATTATATGGAGCTGTTAATAATAATAATCCTTGCATTTGATGTAGCACTTATCACATCGTTGAGACGTCTCAAAGTGCTTCACAGAATATATTGTAAAGTGGGTTGAGTATGGGGAGAGAGCGGCGGAGTAGGATTGAATTAGATAGCTCTTTTCAAAGAGCCGGCACAGACACGATGCGCCGAACGGCCTCCTTCTGTGCTGTTTAATTCTATGATGTATTTTGTGGGCGAAACGCTCTTGCCCTTTGTATCCAGCCAAAATGAACAAATTGCAAACAGCAATGTCCCATAAACAGCTAGGAATTTAATGACAATTAATCTCACTGGGAGAAACCCCCTTCTCTTTTGATTGGTTCCATGGTTTCTTTAACATCAACCTAAACAGGCAGATAGTTTAATTAATTCATCTCATTCAAAGGATGAGACTTCTGACCATGTAGCACTCAGCCATCACTGCACTGCCAGCCAAGTCCATAACCTGAAGATCCCCATTGTGGGGCTTGAAACCACAACTTACCGATCCAAAGGCAAGAGTGCAACCAAGTGAGCCAAGCTGGCACATTTGCCGTTCAGGTACCTGAAAGACAGTTACCACAAAAAGCTGCTGCTTGAGTTTGGAGTTCAACCACCTTGTTGAACTGAAGGCTTACACTCGATATATACGCACACACCACAGGGAATACAGACACACTCACAAACTGAACACACACATTACATACATCCCCATACGCTAAATACGGATACACCCCATGTACACCATACATACGCACAGAACGCACAGCCTATGCATAGCCTATATACATACACAAACACACATACAACTATTGCTATTATTACCAATTACAGTCTAAATTCTGAACCCTAGGAATCTCGGCTTTAGGATTTTATTTTTGCCAAAATGCAGCAAATCATTAAAGGATAACAGATTACAAGATATAAACCCTGACTTCTTTTTTTTCCATTGTAAACACAATAATTCATGTTTCTAAGTTAATTCAGAAACAGTCTGACTTGTCGCTTTTATTTTTATTGCTATTTTTCATTGGTCACCATATTAAAGTCAAAGACACAATATTTACCGACTGATTTGTCACTCACCATAACTTTGGGTTTCCTAATATTGAATTGCAAGATTCACAAAATGTTAAATTGCAAACAAGCAAAGTCTGAAAATAGCAGAGGAATTAACAACCCTGATTTGAATTTATGCAGCCCTTTTCAATTAGGAGAACATCTCACAAATGCTTGTACAGGCGGAATGGGAGCCTGGGAATAGTGGGAGAGAGAGAGAGAGAGATGGGGCCTCCATCACCATCAGTCAGCAAGCATTTTGAATTCTACTCCCCTAATCCCTAGAATTCCCTACCAAGAGCCCTCCATCGCACTATCCTCCACCCATTTGTATCTATTTTCAAGCCTTACTTTAAAACCTATCTCTTTAACCCTTGCTTGGGAGTCAGATCCCTGCTACAAAGAGCTTTGAGATATTATTCTATGTGAAAGGAGCAAGTTGTTGTTGCCTTTTACCACTCCCACACCACAACAAAATCCTGCGACTTGAGCAAATTCAGGTACTGTACGCAGGGATTTAACCAAGTGCCATTGGGATTTATTCACTGCATGTTGCAGGGCAGCGTCACAGCTTGTAAGCATTATATGAATCTAATGCTCATCGTTCAGCAGACACACAGTCCACACTCAACAGGGTTCTTGCTGCCTGCATCAGCAATGTCTTTGTGTTTGATTCCGCAGTTCTTCTGTAATGATTT